GAGAGAGAGAGAGAGAGAGAGAGAGAGAGAGAGAGAGAGAGAGAGAGAATCTTACTAGGGATTGTTATTTTATGGTCAAGATTCCTTTACTAATAGAAGAGTTCATCTTTTGGTAATTGAACTTTGACTCTTTGATAAGTCATAGGTTGGGGAAACAAAGTGAAACTTTTACAAATGGGAAATGAACACAATTCATCTGTATGGGGGAAAAGTTCTTTTTTGGAGTTTGTTTTTCAGTGATTACATTTTGAAGAACCTAAGTAGAAGACCATGGGTTCAATGATTTCTTTCCTTTTCTTGTTTTTCCTAGACATTGTCTGGGGAAATCATCCGATGAGAAGCAGAAGATTGCACACAAGAACTGTGGTTCTTAGTGCTGCAAAGAAAAGAGCCTGGAAACTTTTTTTTTTTATTATTGATTTTATTTCTCCAAGAGATTTCTTACAAAGTGAATTGACCTTGTACAGTTAATTTGATGTTATCTTAAGAAAATAAATGAAGTATGCTTTAGAAAAGAATTATACATGTTCCAACCAGCCATCTCATTTGGCAGTCATTTTCCACAGCTTTTGTGCTTTCTGGGGGTGGGGAGGTGGGGTTGTTTTTATACATGAATGATTAAATCTACACACAGAAATCCAAATTCCAAATTCTTTTTGACCCTCTTCTACAATACCAGCTGAGATCCAGAGACCAAGCACCAATCAAGGGGCGGGGTTGGGGGGGTGTTCTTTTTCCAAGGCTGCAGTTGCCTCGGGCTGCTTGGCCATCAATCCTCAAAGTGGCATCCCCAGAAGATGTGACTGAGGTCCGAGCAGTGCCCACACGTGAACCTAGCCATTCTTCCCAAAGTCATGGCATTTGTGGGACACACAAGAGGGACTTAACTGCATCCTATGGAAAAAGAGGTTGTCTCCTTGTCCTGTTTGCAGTCAGCCCTTTGAGAGCACAAGATGCTGCAGCCAGGGAACCTTCTACTCCAGAGTTCCACATTGCTAGGTCCTCACCCAGCAGCCCTCATGTTTTCACTCCATCCCTGGGACACAGGGGCCACTTTCCAGCTCTCAACAGTATGAGCATCTGGAGAGGTTTTCAATCTGGAAATTGTGGATTGAAAAGGAATCGCTGCTGCACTTCCTGGGACCTTTGCTCAAGAGACCCAGCTCTGTATTCCTGCATTGAGCTGAGCAGCAGGTGCTGTCCTGGGTTTGTTCTCAGTCACCCAATCAAACCTGCCTGAACAGGAACATAAGGACCTATACCAGGCTATTTTTCTGCCTTCTTTCAGTCAATGCTCATAAATTTGCTCACTCAACAGCCAACACATTTGGAGACAGGGACAGGTTACTGATTTGCAGTCCCTGGGTTGTTGTCTTTAGCCCTCCTCAGGCTGGTTTCCCTTGGGGTTTGGGGACAACTAACAACCCCCAAAGCCTCAGATGTAGAGCTCAGGGAGGAAAAGTGGAAAAGTGGGCCAGGGTGTGTGTGTCTCCATCATTTCCTTTGCTTTTATGAGTCACCACTGGTTCCAAGGTTTCTTTCCCTGCAGGCCAGGTGGTGTCCAGAACCGGAGGAGGCCTGGCCGATGCAGGAGGAAGGTGGCAGGAGGAGGTGTGGGTGGCGGACAAGAGACCCTGAGAAGCAGCATCCCTGGAGCTCTTTCCAGACTAATTCAGTTCAGTTGGCGCTGGATGATTCCACAAGAGTGTGGGAAGCAAAGGGCCCTGGGGAGGGGCTGCTAAGCCAGCAATGTGGGCAGCACTTTCTGGGAAACTCAAAGCATCAGGGCACCCTGGGTAGCTTCGTTTCTGAGTCAATGAAAGGTATGGAGGGGCAACTGTGAGGCAGAGGGAGAAAGGTGAAGGTGGGACAGGGAAGGGGCAGTTGGGAAGGGGGCTCAGTCCTTAGTCTTTATTTTCTCCATGGAGAACCTCACTCTGAACTTGGAGAGGCTGCAGAGTCCCCATCCTCAGGGTCCTGCCCATGGGGAGAGACAGGCTGACCCCCTTTCACACGCTTCCACTTCATCCTTCGGTTCTGGAACCACACTTTCACCTGAGGGAGGAAGCAAAGGAGACTGATCACTCCAGGGCTCTGGTGACTTCCTCCCCATGGTGGTACTTAAGCTAGCCAGGGTACAACTAACTCCAGGGACTCCAGCTTAAAACCCTCACTTGCTGCTCCCTATTTTCCCAAGACCCCAGGAACTGAGGCTAAAGGGAGGACATACCAGTCAGCTGAGAGGTCCACATTGTATCTCAAGATGAAGCCCCAGACAGGTGCAGGAACCTCTGCATGGGCCCCACCCTTTCACATGTCCCACCTTTCCTGTGCCAACACGCCTCCCTCAAAGGTCTGGGAGCAGAGGGTCATCAGCCTCATCCTTAGGTACATTTATAGAGCACTTTTCAGTTTAGATAGCTCTGATCAGCACATTTTCTGGTCTGAGTCTAGGATTATGACCTCATTTAACAAATGGAGACCCCAGAGTCATGGACTTGGCAGAGACAGGATCTACAGACAGGATCTTCTGATTCAAAATCTAACACTCTGGCAGAGTCCTCTGTCAACTGAATACTGTTATAGAATGTTATTGGTGTTATTCTATATCAGAACATGGGTATGGGCAGGGTGAGATGATCTGAGGAAAGGCCTCAGCAAAGGGCCAGGGAAGTTTTTCTCCAAGTGTGCCCAGGAACAAGCTGCATATCCTCATGACCTGGAGAACTTATCACAAATGCAGATTCTCATTCCCTCTCATCATTATTGCAAAATTCCAGAACCCCAGGGTTCTGGAATCTGCATTTGTACACGTGCCGAGGGATTCCAATACCCGCTCAAGTCTGGGGAATAAGCAGATCAGATGTACAGAGAATCACCTGGGGGATATTTGAGAAATCTGGGTGTCTGGATTCCATCCCAGATCAATTACAATGATCCCAAAGAGTGGAGCCCAAACATCAGTGTTATTAAAATCTCCTCGGATGATTCTCAGGTACAACCACAGTTGAGAACCACTGGTTGGGTGGAGGGAGAAGAAAAAGAAAGTCCAGGCAGGGGTGATGGGAAGAGAGAGAAGGAAGCAGGTGAGTGAGCAGTGAGGAGGTAGGGCTGCCTGGGCTGTACCTGTCGCTCAGAGAGGTCCAGGTTTACCGCGATCTCATATCTGCGGAGCCGGGTCAGGTAGTTATGGTGCGCGAACTCAGCCTCCAGCTCCCGCAGCTGCTCCTTGGTGAAGGCTGTCCTCTCCTTCCGGGCCTTGCTGCTGCCTTCTGGTTTCCCTCGGTTCTCTTGATTGTCTGGGGAGAAAGGACCCCCAAATAAGAAGATGTGAGCTGAGGGGGCTCGGTTGGGCAGCCTTCTTTGGAGGATGCTGAGAAAGAAGCTACGGCGTTCCTTCATTCTTTTTAGTGCTGTAGCCTTCTGACAATTGGGAAGCTTTTTGGGCTCCCAATCTCAGTCCCAACCCCTGCCCTGCAACTTTTCTTTTTCCAAAGGATGTAAAGCTGTTCTTGGCTGTTTAATGATCTCTGACCGCAGCCAACCCCTAGCATGACATTAGTGCATGTGTACCAGATGCTCTACAACAAATTCTCAAGGCATGTCAGGCCAGCAGCATCAGTCTCACTTGAAAACTTGTTAGAAATGCAAATCCTAGGGCCTCACCCCAGACCCATTGGATTAGAAACTGGGGTCGGGTGGGGACTCAGTAATTTGTTTTAACAAGACTTCCTGATATTTCTGGTGCATGATCAAGTTTATACACTTCTGCTCTAAGATCTCACTACCCAAAGTTTCTCAGGCGGCCAGCAGCATCAGCATTGCTGGGAAGCTGGTCACACAGGCTGGATCCAGGCCCTGCCCCAGACCTACTGACTCAGAGGGCCAAGTCTGGAAAGCCATCTGAACCCTGGGGAGAAGGCTGGTGTTAGACACAGTGGGACTCTGTCATAAAAGCTAACAGGGCCAGGGGAACATAAACTCTGTGCCAGGCACTCTACCAAGCACCCGGCATGCATTAGTCCTCTAATCTTCACAATTACCCAAACAGGTGATTTTAGTATTAGCCATATTTTATACACCAGAAAACTAAGCACAGAGTTCAAATTGATCAAGTTTATCCAGCCAGGGAGTGATGGAGACAGGAATGAAACCCAGGCAGTTTGACTCACATACTGTTCAAATGCAATATTTGTAGGAAGAATTACAAACTGTAAAGTCCTGTGCAGACCAAAGGGGCTGTGCTGTGTCTTATCTTTTGAGCTAGTGGCTGGACCTTCACTTCCACGGTGGTACACAGAGCGGCACAGGGAGGAGACCTACACACCCACACAATTAACTAACAATGCGTGCCACGTGGCCCGTGAATGGCTGCAGGAACCATTCCTGCCATGCTCTAATACTCTGCGCTCTCTTCATTGGTCTCCTTTTACAGGCTTGGGGATTGTGGCTCAGAATCAGGGGCTTTACCGAGAGCTGCGCCCCAACCCACTGCCCGCTCGGAGTCTGGTCCCCTCCTCGCCTACGCGGCCAGGGGTGGGTTCTCTGTTCTCCGAGGCCAGGTTTAAGCCGACCTGGGTGGTGGGCGGAGGATGCAGACGGGATGTAAGTCAGGCCAGCCGCCCACACTCTGGGCTCAGCTGCCAAAAGGCCGAGGGGCCTGGGGAGGTAGAAACCCCACATTAACCGGGAGATCCAATTAGAACTTTGAGCCTGGCTAGTTCTTTCTTATGCTTTCCATTCAACTCGTTTGTACTTCGGTTTCCCCGACTTCCGCCCCCGGGGCCGACTGCAAAGGCACCAGGAGAGAGGGGCGGGTGGGCGGCTCTGCAATTCCGAGAGGAGCGGGGCGACCGACGCTCCTCTCCCCGCTGTGGCCGCCCCGAGAACCCCGAGGAACCACCCGAGGTAGCCCGAGGGTGCTTCCCGCCGTCTAGATGCCTGGCCCGTGGGTGTCACGGCGCCCTGGCCCCGGTGCCCGCGCCGGATTCGCGGGGGCTGCCTGCAGGGCTCTCCTGGGGACAGGGGAGGGGGCGAGTTCCCTAGCGCGGGCTGCCTGCCCGGAGGCCTCTGGCTCCAGACCGGAGAAGGCAGGCCAGACCCCTCCGGAAGCCGGAGCGTGGGCTGGAGAGGAAGGACGCGCAGCTCCGGGCCGGGGTCCCCGAGGAGTCCCCCCCGGCCTTGGCGGCTGCCAGAGCCGCGCCCCGTCCTGGCGGCGGTCTGGGGAGGATCAGGCAGCGGATGGACGGCCTCCCCGGGGCACATCCCGGCCCGTGGACGCGAAAGTGAGGCCAGGAAACCCAGGCCCCTCGCCCAGACTCCTGGTGCCTAGTTCCACAACCTCCTCCTGTCCCGGGGTTCACAGTGCTCAGAGCCTTTCCCTGTCACAGCTGTGGGTAGCCAATAGTCCAGAGGACTTGCGCAGAGGTTTCAATCCTGAATCTTCTTGCTGGAGACTTTGAGGAAGTTACTTAACCTCTCTGGGCTCTCCTCACAAGAAATTGGAGAAAATAAGGCACGTACCTCCAAGGGCTATTTTGGGAAGACTGGATGAGCTAATGTGTGTAGAAAATGCTTTTAAAATCTAAAGTTACTGGACAAATATATTGTTCCAGTGTTTTCACTGCACGAGCTGCCATGGGAAAGCCGGTATAATAAGAGCTGGCATTTCTGAAGGCTTCTCTGTGCTTAGATACACTCACTTGTTTAATCCTTGCCACACATCTCCTCTGGGAGTAGGTGCTATTATTATCCCCTTTTAGCAAGGCTATGTGGATTTGCCTTGATCATTTGGTTAATAGCTCTTTCCCAGGGATGCTTTCCTCACTCTTGCTTCTAGCCAGTGGCTCCTGTACCTGGCACATGCTAAACCATCTGTGGTTATACAGAGGAAGCAGCCTCAGTGTGCCCAGCAGCCTTTCAGCCACAGAAGGGAGATTTGAATACAGATCCACCTGATTAAAGCCAAGGCTTTCTCAATCTTAGCATCAGATTCTCTACCTTCTGGTTGGCCCTGGCCAGGTCCTGGAAAGGGACCATAGCAGCTCTGCTTGTCTCCCCCTCCAGGGCTCTTAGGGGCATGGCCCTAGGTTGACACCCATACCCACCCTCCCCTTTTCTTAGGCCTCCCTAGGTGTGCACAGCTGCCTTGTGCTCTTCCAGAAAACATCTCCCCATGTCCCCCCAAGTCCTGAACACAATCCTCCCTAGCAAAAGTGAAGAAAGGGAAATGACCCATTTGCAGCTGGTCTGGGACCAATTGTGTGGGCAGCTGGCCACCCCCACCAAACCAACTCCTGCCCTCCCCCCTTTCCTCTCCTGTCTCCTGTCCTGATTTAGGTTCTGGGGCTTCAGGGCCTAATGCCTCCCCATGCTCTGGGAGAACGCTTGTCCCTCATTAACTTTCCAGAGTGGCATAAACTTTTACACTGTTAGGATTGATAAAGGCACCAGAAGTATGGGGAAGGCGCTGCGAATCTCAGGTGGAAGTTATTGTTCTCTTGTTTTGCAACAGTATTAAAAATGGCAATATTTTTATCAAGACAGGAAAAGAAAACCATGAGCACTTTTTTGCCATTTCTGGCTGGGGGTGTCCAAGTCTGCCAATTCAGGGGCACAGTTCAAGTGCATACTACCACATGTAAGGAACTCATGCCCTGGGTAGATAACATCTTTGTTGGGCAGGCTCCCTCTCCTTTCTGGGCCAATTTCTCCATGTGTAGAAGCATGAGATCAGACAGGACTCTTTCCCCTGGAGAGCTGGAGTTCCTTCCCAATATATAAGCCCTGACACCCTCTTTTCCTCTCCCTGTCCCTTTTCTTTGGACAACATCTGGCCTTGATGAACTCTGTGGCCACTTCCATCTCTTACTGCATGATCAGTCACAAAATTCTCTCCAACCTTCCCTCAGTCCTCAGCCCAAAGATTGGGCATATGCTAGAGAATTTCTCTCTCCCTCCCACATGCAAAACTTCCTGTCCTAAGCTGAGCGAGGGGTACTGTATTTGCAGATGCATCTGAGGACCCATTGGAGAGCCTAGGCCTTTGCACTCACAGGTGCTGGCTCCAAGGAGGAGTTTTCTGACCTTGGGCAAGTCACTGAAGTTCTCTGAGCCCCAATTTCTTCATTTGCAAAATGAGAATAGCTACACCCACTGTGATTATAAAGCCAATGAGAAGGTAAAATGAGACGGATAACATGTACTAAGCCCTAGCGTGGTGCTGGGCCCAGTGAGACTCTGATTTTAAAGGATGTGATGTTTGAAATGTGATTCACCAGCTTAAATAAGATGCTGTAAAAGCACCACTTCTCCAGCCCTGTGTGGAAGGGATGCCCTTCCAATGTCTGACTTTTCAGCTATTTTCCCTTCACTTCTTTTCTACATCTGTGAATACGGATCTGCATATTCGGGACACTATTGGCACCACTTATTGAGTCTTCCAGGGAGCCCAGGCTCCCACGCACAGTTACAGAATGGCCATCCACATTGGTTCTCCTGGTCCTGCTTCTCTCGGGAGGTAGCCACTGCTTTTGGCAGGATCACAGAGGGAGGAGGCAAACCCTCAGTGGGCTGCCTCTGTGGTTAGGGAGGAGCCACCCACCCCAAGCAGGGCCATGAGGGAACAGTCAACAGTACCCCAAGAAATGCAAACAGGATGTGTGTGTGTGATTGCAGTTTCCACCATGAGCTTTTACATAGTCCAAGGCGAATTATTTCATAAGTAGCTGTCAGGCTTGGCAGGCCTTCCTAAAGTTAGCAGACAGCCTTATCAGAGCTGCAGGAAGGTTCCATCAGCCAAGTGGAACATGCCTTTCTGGAGTCCTGTGTTCCCACTCCCCACTCCACAGCATTATTTTAGATATATTTCTATCCAATACCATACAGAAAGCCACATGTCCCAGATTCAAATAGCACTTTGCAGTTGACGGTGGATTTCTTTCTCCCATAGAGAAACTTCTTTTGGACCTTCATATCTACTCCAGGATCACAGAATAGTAGAGCTGGAAGGGATTTTAGAGAAGACTTATTGTCCCTGTTCATTTTATAGGTGAGACAGAGAAGGTAAGGGACTAGCCTAAGAATACAGAAAGTTAGTTGCTTACTGGGCCTGGATTCTGTACTTCCTTATAGGTAGCTATTTATACACCATCATGCTGCTTCCTATTGAATCATTATTATTATTATTATTACTTTTTTTCCAGTTCTGGGGGTTGAACCCAGGGCCTTGCACATGCTAAGCAAGTGCTCTACTACTGAGCTACACCCCAGTCCCTGTCCTAGTAATTATTCTGGGAGG